GACGTCCGGGTCCAGCTGACGGACCTCCCGCTCAACAACCAAGACTACGCTTCGGTCGGCGCGCAGACATGGGGCGGTGCCTGCCTCATGGCGGACCTGCTCGTGCAGTCCCCGTCAGACTTCGGCATCAACATCGCCTCTGGAAGATCGCTCAGGGTCCTCGAACTTGGTGCCGGCACAGGTCTCGTGGGGCTGACAGTCGGAAAGATGCTCCAGGCACAGGGCGTGTCCGCCGAGATCGTCTGCACAGACTTCCACCCGGCGGTGCTCTCCAACCTGCGCAACAACGTCACCTCGAATTTCGTCGAAGGCGACTCCGCAGTCTCGATGTCCGTGCACGCCCTCGACTGGTCGACGTTCGCCGCCGCGTCCCCACCTCCTCTCCTCGCGCCGTTCGACCACCCGTTCGACGTCGTCCTCGGCGCCGACATCGTCTACGAGCTCGAGCACGCGCGCTGGATCCGGTCCTGCGTCGCCGCGATGCTTCGCACACCGCCCGCAGAAAACACGGCGTCCCTCGCTTCATCCGACTCACGCCTGCGCCCGCAGCTCCACCTCGTCATCCCGCTCCGGGCGACACACGCCGCCGAGTCGCACAGCGTCGAGGAGGTCTTCCCTCTCGCGTTCGATGTGCATGGCGGAGCGGAGTCATCGCCCGATGGCGAACCCTTTCGGTGCGGGCTGGGCATAATCTCGAAGGAGACTCTGGCCTGCGAAGATTTCGCTCGGGGCGGTGGTGGCGAGGTCGAATATGTCCACTACACGATTTCATGGATTTAATATGGGGTCACAGGGGTTCAGGTTGCAGGTGGAGATAGAATAGAATTTGACAGGGCACACATGTTTAGCTAAAATCACTGCATATGGATAGGCATCATATATTTATGGGCGCGGAGAGGTATCGATCACACAGGCCACTCAAGTAACACAACAGACGGAGTTCATCTGCTGCCTCGCATGTCACTCGTTCTGATGATGCGGCAGTCACAATCGACATTGCGGATGAATTGCGAAGGCTCTGGGAGCTTGCTCGGATATCGTGCCATATATGCAGCGGCGATATAAGGACCGAGAGTATTCATATCACGATTCGGCTGTAAATACCGCGAGTAATATCCAACAAAGTTATTGCGATGACGGACAGAGTACCCTGAGCCTGACGCAGAGCGCAAATGAGTCACGAAAGGCATAGGCAGACTTACAAAGTGTGTACGCAGAATCTAGATTTTGTACTGAAGAGAGCGCTCAAACAAACCAGAGAAAGTGCGCACAAAAAAGAAAAGGGAAAGGAAAAGGGAGAACAAGAGAAGAAAGGCTCTGCACCAAGGCAGGCGTAAGTTCGTCAAGCCCTAAGATGTCGGGCCGGTTAGTTCGTATACTCTGTTAGGGAACGGAGCGAAGTTACCACGGCAGTTCCTCTAGGCGACGTGAGCGCGCCGTCGATCTGCGGCTGAAGATGCTTGGCCTGATTGGAAGCGAGGACCTCACGAAGAAAAGCCTGCTTTTTCGCATCGTCCTCGCATCCTGCGAGACGGATGATTTGCGGGCGCTTTAATTGCACGGCCCGCCCGTCGACAGTGTAGGTCGAGGGAGCGCGGAGGATCTCCTCTGCTGTTGTTCTCACTGTCGAAGGAAGGCCATGGACGTACAAGATCTCGACGTTGCGCGGGTGGCAAAGCTGAGAAAGGATCCTCCCAGCCGGTATGGCGTCGAGGAACCACTCGAACACGGGGAGTTCGTGCACGTTGATGCGCAGCTTCTCTGAGGGACGCATGTCGAGAGCGGCCTGTTCAATAGACTGCCAGCCCATCGAGGCGACGTCCTCGACTTTGGTTCGGCGGAGGAAATCAAATGTCATGGATCTGATGCCATGAGCAGAGAATTCGCTGTTCGGGGTGTTTTTCACTACTCTGATGTGAATTTGGTAGCTGAAGACCGCCTTCGAATCAAGCATACGAGCGTATAGCTCTAGAAACACAGGTTTAAATTAGAAATTAAAGACTCGAGAATCGTGCAATATAACCCACCACACTCGGGAGGTTCCTTCATAAACTGCGGGATTACGCTGACCTCCTTAAAGGTAGACGCGCCGCAAATTGCGTGTGCGGCGCTATGCAGGATATCCCACTGTGAAAAGGAGTCCAGGAGCACGCGTTTGAAGACGCCGTGGGGGGCTTGAACATGGAAAATCCAGAACGCAAGGTCGAGGTCATCACTGGAGGAGCCGCAATCTGTAACCCGAACATGACGAAGGCGGTTTCGAGCTCGTCTGTGGCGATCTGTGAACTGCGGGGGCATATCCTTGTCAAACTTGAGCTTCGTGCAGCTCAGTTCGCTCAGAAGTGGACTACCCTGGACGAAACGCAGCAGCTCTGCGGTGCTGTGGAAGCGAAGGTCGTGGAGCGTGAACTTTAATATGTGGAACATGCTACCGGGAAGCGACCTGGGGAGACCTTCGCACCAGGACGCAGGCGCGTATTTGTCTTTCGCAGCACTGTCTTGACGGCGGTATACGCCGCTAAGACGCAGGGTGATCCCACCGCCAGTAAGCACCTGTAGGTCATCGTCTCCGTACTTAGAAGCCATTCCGGCATATACACGATGGATCCAGGGCTGTACCCAGGGACCGCGATAATCGATAATGAGATGGCTGAGGCTGTCGACGATGGTCGGCTCGACCTTCACCGGAGAGCTGATGAGCTCCAAGAAGGTGTCCAGATCTTGGCTTGTGCGGAGCGTGAGCTCACCGAAGATATGGCGCCGGATAAGATATGCCCAATGCCGGCAAGTGAGACTAAGCAGGCCGAGCTCATGTTTGTTTGCGTCAACAGGGGTTTCAAAGTCGTCCACGTAGAGGCTACAGAACCATCGGACGATCCTGTCTATGAGCTCCGGTGGGAGATCTGCAGCAGTGGCAGGCGACATTTCTTAGTCTGCTTCAGTCCTATCGCTCCTTGCAGCACTTCGCTGCTGTAAAAATTTGGTTGATCTACAAGCAGTGCATGATAAGTATCATCAGCTCAATGCTAAAGGGGCTGAAGTGACCTGTTGCTGGTCGAGAGGTGGCAAGTCGGGCGAAAGCTTGCAGTATCAGATAGGTGCCCAGCTTAAAGGCAGCACGCTCACGGCCACGCAAGCGAGATGGCGATGCCGGTTCTGGCCATCCGACGTCTCTCATCTCGCCCGATCATCTTGCTCCGAATAGCGCTCAACCTAATCTCGGACCACACAAGTAAAGGAAGAGCATGCACGATAATGTATAGCAACGTGCGTGATCGCTGATAAATACCAGCGTGTAAAGAGACATTGGAGGAGGGAGTGAAAGGATGTCGAATATTTGATACCAGTAGCATGGCCGAACGACACATCTTACCCAAAGCTGAGGATATTCAACCGTTGTTCACTCGTGAAGCAGACAAGCGGCGACACTTTAGCACTTCGTTGAAGAGCGACTGTCGCATATATATATCTTCTAGGTACAGTACTCAAGCCATCATTTAAGTACCGAGCTCGCCTTGTTCAAGGGAATGGCAGCTCGTTTATTGTTACGGCTGCGCGCGGCTTAGTGCTATGAAAGGATCGGCTTGGATCATGAGTGAATTTGAAGACTTGCACTGCATTGCGCGGTCTAGTGAACACACTCCTAGCCCTGGCGCTGACGCCTCGCTTTGCCAGTGCTGAAGGTGACGAACGAGAAGAACGTATATCGCCTTGTGGACACACCGCATATTGATGATGAGAATGCCGACGCGATGCGCCACCCAGCCACAGCCGCTCCGGCCATACTTGGACAAGAAATTATACATATCTAAATGCGACGCTCTGACGTAAGAAAAAAATGGTAGATCCAAGAAAACTTACCTTACAGACGTCCGGGATCGATCCGCTTGAAAGAGGACGTACGATACCAAGAAGCTTGCGCTGCACTCGTAAGGTATACGTACGCATTGGTGAGGAATGGGGCTGCATGTAGCCAGTAATATGTACTCTTGACCAATAATTGTTTGCACATGGCGATATAAGCAGGGATAATGAAGGAGCCAGACATGAGGAAAATTGGTGATGGTACACGAGCAAGGGTCCAGAGAAAGATGGTATTAGTATAGGTGCTGTGGATAAGGAGAGAGCATAGAGGAAGAAGCTTCATATCACGGAGAAGCCGCCGAAGTCTAGGAAGCCTTCGTCAATAGACATCTTGCGTACGACAAGAGCCTCGACGATGAGCCGAGGCTCCTTAGCGCCGAGGGGAGGAGCGTCTGCAACGACGTCCACGAGCGTCGCTTCGGTGAGAGCGGGAGAGGGGGATCCACCCAAGATTACTGTGTCGGAGAGGGCTGGCGTTGCAGGAATGAACTCCGGCGTCGGAGCTTCATCCACGACGACCTCGGCGGACTCGACTATAACATGAAGATTCCCCAAACCTGCAGTCAAGTTCGCAGCCTCGTCTGCAAGCTTGAAGACATCAACGTTGACATCATGCACAGGAAGAAGAGTCTCGTCTTGTCCGACATCTGCCCCGTCCAGCACAACTTTGGATTCGGCACGGGTCAGCAGGGCCTTATGCTTCTCCTCTCGACGCCTATCCCGCGCCTGGCGCCGTAGCAGGGCCTTGGCGTCCTGCTTGATGGGAACGTGCGTTGTTTCGGCGGAACCTGGAGCCGGATGCGTCTGTAGTTTCCAACCCGGCCTCTTCTCTTTCAAGTCCTTGCGCCCATGCTTACCACCGAACACACCAGCATCAGAGGATGGGGCATGCGACGACGGAGGGACGAGGCTTGTACACCGCCGAAATCTCGATGTCGAGGGAGAAGTCGGGAACATCAGCGTCGCGGGCGAATGTCGTTCTCCTTGTCGCCGTCGTTGCCGTCATCATC